ACGGCTAAGGTATAGTTTAGACTTATAATAGTAAGAAGACCCCGTGACACGACGTCCCTCAACGGGAATTAGCATTGTAGCGTCGATGAATATGAAATAGAAAAGTTACATTAGCATTCCAAGAACGTAATTCATATAAGGATTAACGCCTGGCTCATGCGGACTTTTGGAGCTTCGATGCAGCATCCGACTCGCCTCACCCGCAGCTTGGAGAATCCGTCAAATGGCGCCCCGTGCAGTTCGCCCGATCAAGCCGCCCAAGCCATAAGCCAAGCTGCTTATCCTTATTAGTCCTTATTAGATGGGCAAAAGAGTTGCCTGCTCGCGTTGCACAGGTAGGATTTGAGGATCAGTCTTACGCACGCCGTATCCTGAAGACGTACAACCCGGGCCAAATGCTCCCTTGCTGCAGTAGTCCCTTATTTCGTTGTCCTACTCGATTGTTTGAAGTTTCACTATGTTACCCTTGATTGAGTAAATGATTCAGTCTTTCCAGTAGTAGAGGACTCCAACGAGTCATCTCTCTTTATCTGCTCTAGGTACCTCATGTATGTCGTTTGGAGAACTACAAAGCCACAGGGTCTCTATGCACGAGGAGACCAAGAAGAATGACAAGCGACTTTAGTCCTGGGTAAATATGGGCCTAGTAGCCTCGTGACAGATACTAATCTCGATCTTCATGTAGCTAATAGCCATTTAGGGGGCGTGGTCAAACGCGGCATTACGTCTATCCTTCGTAATTCGTATGTGTAGCGACGCAGCGTCATAGACTTTTTGCAGCTACAATATACACTTACCTAATATGAACCATATGAAACACACACTTACACAACCATCCTTTTACCCAAGTGCTTAACGTAAGGAATAATTCATATTAAGATATTGTAAGACTTGGTATTGATGCGAGAGACATGATTCGTCCGCAGTGTCTCATCGTACGGTTGCAAGTAAAGCTAATCGAACCTTATAGGTCCTTTCCGCCATGTTTCATGCTCGCAACTGCAGGCTTGAAGCGAAAATCCTGATTCAGTGATACGGCGGGACTCGGTGAGGGTGAGGATGAGGATGAGGATGGGAAGAGCAGAATAGGTACATGTATACCATTCATAATGTAGGAACAAAATACATGTAGGTACGTGTATGTAGCTGTACTAGTACTGTTGGTATCCTTACCTCAGGAACTTATGTGGTACCTAACCAACCAACCAACGTCACCGATATCCACTTCGCTAGCTTCCCCCGCACATTCGTGCATACAAAGGGACCCCACCATCGTCATTTAAGTCCGGGTCTAGGCCCTTTAAGGTTGCTGTGCTGTATGGAATGATTGACCAGTCGTCACTTTTGTGCGTCCACCGGTTTATACATTAAAACCATCAGGGTCCCCTTTCTAAATCTTGGACTACTTTTCCTTGCTTTCTATTTGGCCCTCTTAAGAAACATTTCGGAGCTCGCCTGGACGGGTGATCTAATCGTTACCATTTGATAATCCCCGTTTGTTAATCTCACCCACACTGCTCGGAAGCAAAGTAGCAGCCAACATGGACCGACTTCACAATAGTATGTTGCAATTAATCTGCATTACCTCCAGGTTGTTAGAGACGATAGAGTTAGTGCTAATTGGTCGTTCAGTAAACCCGTTCGCGAAACGCGATAGCCACAGCAAGAACACTATCATCACTTGGTAAGTATCAAGGCGTCCTTGTCCGGGTACATGCTCTATATCGTCATGTACCACTACATATTTCTCAAGGGAAACTGGCTAACACATTAACAGTACGTCGTAGTACCGTTTTTCGTATATCCTGGTCTCCCACCGCGCGGGAAAAGGGGTCTCACGATATATGGAGACTGTAACTCAGAATATCATACTAACTTACTAGTAGACAAGGTCTTGACGACCATCACCTGGCTGTTATCAATTGTCGTCTCGGTCTACTATACCTTCCACAGACCTCACGATGGAGTTTGGCCACGTCGAAAGATATGGGGTCAGAACGATGCGTTCTACACGGCGTTCCGGATGAACCATATCATCGCTAGCATCTACTGGTAAGGGCCCATCAAGTACTCCGTATCTGAGGTCCATTGTCTGATTTGACCCATTCGATCAGGATCGTCCTCTTCATCCTCCAGGGAGGATACATTGCCCATCTCTTCTCCGGCAATGTGGAACGTGTAAATGCGGCATGCTCCGTGGGCAGCCATTTCATTGTCAACAACCTGTTCCACTTTGCATTCGTAATGCTCTTCGTACGCTCTTTCTTCGGCTGGGCTGAGCTGTTCATTATCCTCAACTTCATCAACTTAACGTCCCTCTATTTCCGCCACCCCGGATATGCTCGATTCATTCACACTCCTGTGGTCTCCGGACCACTGGCATGGACCTTCGTTGCGATTTACTGGAATGGAGCCATCATGGTCCCTCACCCCGACTCACTTGTTGCCCGCATCTTTGGCAACATCTTCATTTGGTCGATTCTAGTATATGGGCTGTTTTTCATCGTTGTCTACAAGGTTATTATTGGAGCCTTCCCCTAAGCTTATGCATCGGTACTAAACATTTGCCAGGATTATACCATGGGCTTCAACCTCAGCGTCCTATCGGCTGCGATCGGTGTATCCCAATTCTTCCGACAGGTCATTGCGTTCCAGTGGATATTCGCCTTTATCATCATGGCAATTCTCTTCATCGCAACCGTCGTAGTTGCCGTACCCGCTGCAACCGGGAGGGATATCAAGTTTGCGAGAGCACGAGAGGGCGATACTGAACGAGCACCTCTCCTTGGCGAGAACAACTAAGCGTTGGGCCTAAAAGTTGTCGGTAATACTTGACTAGGACAGGACGATGATATGTGTAGTTGAGAAGTGTGGTATAATGAACTCTACTCATTCGGATAATGGGATTGCATCTACCCCGTCCCCTTTCCCTTTCAAAACTTTGGTGCGATGGCGTTGGTAGGATTTGAGAGCGAGATGTTGAGATTGTCTGCCCTGGACTGTTTCTAAGGAGATCGATGAACCATTAATTATTGACCTTTCGGTAGGTATTACGTAAGAAGATACGATCTAAATAGAAACCCGGAAAATCTAGTCGGGGTGCTTCAGTAAATGCAATTAGCGGGTGTGCCTAACTTAGTGATAACGATAAGAACAATGCTGTACCACCTAAATTACCTAAGGTATCCAGTGAATTTCTTCGCAATTTCTTCACTTCACCAACCTGCGATCATTCACGGTCAATCGGCCAAATTCTCGTCATGACTCCAAAGCTTTTCCCCATCGGGGTCGGCACAGATATTTGTCAGATCTCTAGACTTTACACGATCTTGACCATGCCCAGAGGTCTCAAATTCTTTAAGCGCATTCTTAGCCCCGAAGAGCTTAGGTCCACTAAAATTGGGATCATCATGAGAAAGGTCTATTTCTACCAGAAGGCGCATCTTTCGGTGTTTTCAGCTGAATACGACCCTAGCTATGACAACAGAGACTATGGCCCTAGAGGCTATGACTATGGCTCTAGAGGCTATGACCCGAGAGGCTATGACTATGGCTCTAGAGGCTATGACCCGAGAGGCTATGACTATGGCCCTAGAGGCTATGACCCGAGAGGCTTTGACTATGGCCCTAGAGGCTATGACCCGAGAGGCTTTGACAACAGAGACAACGCCAACAGAGACAATGGCAAGAAAAATGGGGATATTTTGGCGGCAGCTACGTATCTGGCTGGTAGGTGAGTGCATTCTATTCACTCATAAGAGATGGCTGGAGTACCTAAGGTAGCTTACGTCCGATACTAGGTTCGCGGCCAAAGAGGCAGTCATGAAGGCCTACAGCTTCCGCAAGCTTAACTTCACAGATATCACGATCACTTATGAGCGCGTTGTGAGAGACAAGGCCTGGAAAGGCAAGGACAAGGAGCAGGACAAGGAGCAGAAGCCCTCTTCTAGTTCTCTTCAAGGGGAAGATGACTTTGCACCGTGGGACCTGGAGGGCAAGGACAAGGAGCAGGAGCAGGAGCCCTCTAGTTCTCCTCAAGGGAAACGTGATTCTGCATCGCCAGACTCCAAACCAAGGGAACCTGCGTGGAACAACAGCCCACCAGTAGCTTATATCAAGGGCGATGGTACCCATGAAGATATATATGCTCGCATCAGTATCAGTCATGATGGAGACTACGCTATAGCCTTTTGCCTAGCATACATGAAGGACCCGGACGCTTGGGAGAGCAAAACTGCTCTCTTGGAGTGGATTGGTTGAGGCTTCCCAAGCTCCCATATGCCTGGAGACGAAAACCTCTTCTCGGTATTGGCGCGTCTAGTTGTTCGCTGAGGGCAAATATCGTCTCAACAATGCTACTTCAAACCTGAATGAGCCCGAGAGATGCCTGCCAGGAAAGTGGCGTCAAAACTCTACTTTATGTGCGCGGAGATGCACTCAACTCTTGCGTCAATAATACATGGATTTCGCCACATCGATCCAAGTCCCTTGTGGTTAGGTACTATTGCTGCTGGGTTGGAAACTCATGTACTATTACCTATAGCCTAGATATTAAGCTTAGACTTAGGAATTCATCTCCCTTGTCTCTGTGGAGTGAAGTTCTCAACATTCAAATTCAATATGCTGTTAGGTAATCATGGGAAGCAACCTACCCCACACCGTGCTGCTAGGATCCCTGTCCTTAGGTACTCTATTTTACCTACGAGCTTGCAGCATTAGACCTAACTGTACCAATTGAAAATTCAGATGACGTAACCAATCTCTACGCTCTCTCCCTTCTTTTGTGTTTCGATTTGAATGTCTCACGCCACCGCCATACCAACATAGGTACCGTAGTGTAGAGCCACCAGTGCCCCGCAACAGACAGCACTAAATGGCCATCCCCCCATTCTTTTAGGTAAGATAGCTTTATAAACCAAAATAACTCACCGAATTCCACCGCGAATCGTCCGTCATATCCATGTGGTGCGATTCAGTCCTTTGAGCCAACGAACAAATAAGACTGCTTGGCGCAATGGTAGCGCGCGGTCCTCCTATTACTGCGGTTTATCCGTCGGAAATAGGTAGTGAAAGACTGAGGTTGCGGGTTCGAGTCCCGTGGTGGTCGCTGTTTATTTTTTGCTCAATTTTCTCCCTGTCACTTGCGTTTACGTTGCAATTGATCTTTTTTGAGCTCTGTTTGAAATTTTTGAAGATTTGTTCTTTGCTACAAACGCGGCATTTCAACATTGAGATTTTCTCTAGCCTTTCGTGGGACGGGTTCATGCTGCTTCCCGAAAAAGGATCTGTCATTTTTTGGATGTCGATGTTTGCACGATTTGCTTCTTCCTATTCTATCCTTTAGGAATATTTATTTGGATGCAAAAGCAATGTTGTCGGAGAACGGACCATGTTGTCGCTTCGCTTCATTATGTTTGGATACATTAATTTCGCTATCGGTGCAGCAAGTCAAAGACATTTCGAATTATTACATTGGGTGTAACGGAGTCCAGCGCGAAACTACAATGATTGCTACTAGGTACCATCAATGGTCATGACCACTCAATACATTGTTCAGCTTGAATAATTGCACTGCATGGTTGACTTCCAGTGCGTCAGTCTGAAGGGTGCTACTTAAGTGAGCTATTGCATTAGGAGCGCAGGGTTGGGTTAGATATATCTGTTAACTTCCAATTCCTTCACCATGGGGCAGTTTGGTCAATTTGTGCCTTCCATTCGCAAGCCCTGCATTCAAGTCAGCAAGAGTCAATCTAGTGTTGTGGAAGTTGCGACCAGCGATTTAGTAGCAATCTAGGTAAGTTTGCGAAGTGGTGGAGTACCTGGAGGTACCTTTACGCAAAATCATGGATGCTAAGGTACCTAAAGATCGGACATGTGAGATCTTAGGAAGGTACGGGCTGTGGATCTTTAAAGTCTAGAGCCGCATCAAAGTTCCGGCTCGTAAATAAACCCCAACTACATTCTTCTTACTCTCATCGCCTTAATGCTAGCAAACAATTGTATCGCCGCTTAATATCTATCGAAAAAACTTGGAATAACAAGCGAATTGAATTTTGTTTTTGTCAACATATAAATATAATCACCATGGCTACCGATGTGGATATACCAAAACGGCAAATCACGCCTGTACCCGTACCCGTCCTCCCCATCTCGGTCCCCCAGAAACGACCTCTAGAAGACGACCACGCGCCCCCAGTTTCTTCACCTCTCAACCCCAACCCCGATGTAAAACCTAACAAGACACTGTCACATGACGAAGTAGCAGCAATGGCGCGTGAGAAACCCGCCAGAAGTAAGAAGGAGACACTCAAGAAGCGAGAGTCCAAGGCTGGAGCGGGAGCAGATAGCTCTAGAGCTACGCCCGATCCCAAGATCAAGGAGCTCCCGCCGAACGAGTCATCGCCTATGCGTTATAAGCTAGCTCCTCCGAAGCCATCTGACTTTGAAACCGCCAGAGGTCCCGTCTTTACTCCTCATCACGAAGTTACCGCCCCGGATGGATCTACCATCCAATTCTATGAGACATCAGAACAGTGAGTCGCATTCGACATTGTGTTTTCGTGATCTCCTACTTATCTACGTCTAGTGTTTACAATAAAAAGAGCTTCCACTACCTACACTGCATCGCCGACCCTGCCTTCCCTTCCTCCTTCTACTACCGACAGACCGAACCCGAACCCTACGGAGCACATATTAGCTTCGAAGATGCCGCGACGCATATGTATATGGACCAATTAGGTCGACACATAACGACAGACAAAGGCTTCAGAACAGCGCGAGCCAATGTTGCCGTACGCCAGGGCCGATGGTACTGGGAATGCAAGATTACCAGAGGCACCATCAAGAGCAGTCCCGACGGAAACGTCGAGTCGCATGGCCACGTACGTATGGGATTCGCGAGACGTGAAGCTTCGCTAGATGCACCGGTCGGTTACGATGCCTATAGCTACGGTATCCGAGACGTGCAGGGCCAGAAGGTCCACATGTCGCGACCAAAGGATTTCTTCCCGCCTGGTGAAGAGATTCGAGAGGGTGATGTGGTCGGACTCGAGATCCAGTTACCGTCGGAACACCTGCATCGAAAGGTTGTCCAAGGTCAATACAACCCGGCTGTAGACCTTTTAGACGAAGATGAGCCGTCTATCGAGGCAGCCAACATCGTCCGAGACCGCATACCGATCCGTTTCAAGCAACACATCTACCTCGAGAAGATCGACTACCACACGACTAAGGAGCTTGAGGACCTCATGAACCCGTCCCCGGCCGGTCCCTCGGGTACGATAGGCAGTAGACCAGCGGACAGACCTAATCCTAACCATCAGGTGCCCGCGCTACGCACGCTACCCAAGTCGTGCATCCGCGTTTACAAGAATGGCGTGCTCATGGGCACGCCCTTCACGGACCTCCTAGCCTTCCTCCCGCCGGCCTCGAAGCCGCAAGCCCAGGTCGGGGCGCGCGAAGGTATGGACGACGGCATGGCGGGGTACTACCCAGCGATCAGCGTATTCCGAGGCGGTGCCGCCGAAGTCAACTTCGGCCCGCACTTCTGGTATCCTCCGCCGGGGTATGCCGACGCAGACACCGATGGGGACGTGGATATGGTAGACGCGGACGCGGACACGGTCAAAGTGGCTACCACAACCGCGAAAGGGAAGCTGGATAAGGTCCGGCCGGTAGCTGAGCGGTACGACGAGCAGATCGTGGAGGACATCGTGGCGGACGTAGTCGACGAGGTCGACTTCTGGATGCGCGACGGCGCACGCGTTATTGACCGCACAGGCGGTAGGGATGGTAAGGCGGAGACGACGGCGGGCATCGCGCCTGGTCGGGAGGAGATTAAGGAGCTCGTGCAGGACGATTAGGGCGCGTCAACCAAACGAGGCTCAACGAAAAGGAAATCTTCTATCCGTTCTTCTACCCGTGCCAAGGCTACTGCTGCTACACCCCTTACCCCAGCCACCTCTGCTACCTCTAGCACTTCCACTACTCCCACTACCTCCGTTATTTCTTCTGCTGCTCCTTCTCCTTCCACGAGGAGAATCGCTTCGTTAAGGTCTAGGACCCGTGGGAAAAGGACTCCTAGAGGTTCTTAGGGTTGTATCGGCCTGGGGATTTGGACGTTTGCTTTAGCTGTATGGAGGAGATATGGGAGGACCGGGAAGCAAGGAGATCATCACCAGGCCGATGCGATGTTTTGTGGCGAGGGTTGAGGGGGTTCGTTTGGACTTGATAAGGAAGAAGGCTTAGACGTACTTCCAACTACTTACCTACCTAGATAAGGACTATGGGCTAGGGTACGCAGCAGCATATAACATCGTTGACTTTTCCTCGCGGAGAGGACATTGAGGAAAGAGATGCGATGTACATCAATGGCTTTGCGTTGATATTGATACCTGAATGCAAACGAAGCTTTCAATGCAAGTGATTCTGTCTACCATTATTATGATTGAGATTCTACTAAGGAAGTTCGAGAGGACGTAGAGAGAGTATCATTGCTCGTACAGAATTTTCCCTACAAACCTGCGCAGCCCCTATTTTGACCCAAACCGTCGATACTATTAGTATCCCCCATCCCCATAACTCATTGTCTACTCTTGAACCTCGAACTACCTAGGAAAATGTCGTAGAGTGGTAAAATCTTCCATTCCTCGCATCCATGACTGTAATAAACCGGGTATCTCTATTATAACTCAACTATCCGTCATCGTGAACTCTCATAACCTCGTGAGCGGTAACTTAGGGAGCTAGCACCGCACCCTCCGACCTGTTTCCCTTTTACGTCATCAGCCCCTGTCGACCGTTTTCCATGAGATCCTGCTGATGTTCGTATAATGGCTTCTTCCTACTTCGCCTCCGTCGATGCGGCCGGCGCAGACACGGATATAGCCGGCTGCTGCTGTTGCTGCGACTCATTCAGCACCTCCTCCCCCCGAGGCGCACTCCCATTAGCCTCATTACCCCCCTTCCCCTCAATCGCCTTCACATTCCCATTCCCATTCCCATCCCCGTCCTCAACCATCGTTCCCGCAGCCCCCGCCTCCGCATCCGCAGCCTCCCTCTCAAGCCTAGTCTCCCTACCCCTCTTATAACAATACCAAAGCGCACTCAACAACAAAAAAACCGCCACACTCCACAAGACATTCGTCCCGACGAAAGCCGGCCACCGCGTCTTCAACGCATTCACAATGCCCTTGAGCAACCCCACCACAGCCCCCGGTTTCGTCACCAACTCCATCAAATTCCCAGGACTCAAGAACTTCTTCCCACCCTCCTTCCCCTCCTTCCCCTCGTTCTCAACCTTCAACCCCTGCGCCTCCGCCGCAACGGCCAATAACTCCGGCGCTAAGCTAGAAGTCAACTTCTCCGGTAACTGCGCAACGAGCTTCTTGAGACTCTTAGGCAGTTTCTCGTAAGACCGCGCGAGAACACCGTCGCGGTCCTCGATCAGTTTTACTAGGTCGGAGTATGCTGTCGGCACGCCGTTGACGAGGTCCTTGAGGACTTGGGTGAATTTGCGCAGGGTCTCGGCGGATTCGCGCGAGAGCGAGAAGGCTTTGTTGTCGGTTGAGGCGGCGAGGTTGAGGTCCTCGAGGACACGCGCCATGTCGGTTTCTTCTTTGCGGGTTTCGCGGTCGGGGTCTGTGGCGTTGGAGGCGGGGGTGGTTGTGGAGGGGACGGTTAGGTGGGTGTCGTGCTTGTGTTTGTCGCCGGGCTTGCGCTTCAGCGAGATGCTGTGCGAGAGGTTCGTTATGAGGGAGAAGCGCTTGGGCTTGTGGTCGCTGTCGGGTTTGGCTTTCTTTGCATCTTTGTCTTTGCCCTTATCTTTGCCCTTGCCCTCGTCTTTGGAGGCTTTATTATCGCTGCTCTCGTCTTTGCTGGCGTAGCTAGATGCATCGCTGTCCAACTCAATCACCGGCGTCTTAATGCGCGGGGGCAATGGAGGCGGGGTCTCATCATCGTCGTCGTCGACATGACTGCCTGACGCAGAGGTAAGCCGCTCGAGGAACTTCTCGTCCTCCTGATCGAGGATAGGCATACCCTCAGCCTTTTCCAAGACGATTTCGGGCGAGCTAGAAGACTCGGATGGCGTGACTGCTGGACTGGTTT